AACAACAGGGTATTATCAACATAACATACCAATGCACGCATGATCAAACTCTATCCAGCGCTTAATCATTTGTATTATACTTTTTCTCTTCCATATTTATCTTTTCAGATGTCAGATGAAGTTTTTCCAAAAAAACAGCTGCAAAATGCTTTTATACATGTATAGGATTCCTCATTATTTTACTAATATCTTTCTCCCAAGCAAATATTCGATTAAGCTTTCGGAAAAAATGACCAAATCCAGTAAGTACAATGAATTTCTCACACGGGCCGGGGCATCTTTAGTTCGATAGCAGATTCCAACAACACTAACTTCTTTTATATATTTATTTTTGGTACTTCACCTTCAAAGTACTCCCAAATCGCCTTCATAATCTGTTTTTCAAGGAGAGAATGTTCTATTCCTCTGCAGTATCGGATCGTGTATATAGATAGATCTCAAGCAATTGAGGGATTCTCTCTTTTTTTTTTCTTTTTTTTTTTTGTGGAAAAGGAATTTAGCTATACATATATTATACTTTAGTCTGCCTTGTAAGTAATTGTTAGAACTTGAAGAGGGACAAGAAAAGAGAATTAAACTGAGCTGTTCAAGAAAGATATACAACAATTTAGTAAATATTACAGAAAGTGGAAAAAAAGATCCTTTACGACCGTCGCCTCTTTTTCGAGTTATCCCCCTGATGCGTTAAATCCATGCGCTTTCCATGCAAACCATAATAGCTAATACTACATCACTAGCCCAAAGTTTCTATATATATGTGTGTGTGTGTGTGTATACTGCACTGTATAAGCAGGAGGAGAAGAGTGGGCTTAAGAAGTGAGGAGGAAGAAAATGATGAAAATTCCTCCACTTGGGCGAGGTCATAGTATTTGTAAACCATCATTAGTTCAATTTATCGTTACAATATCAGTATTCTGCATTATATTGAATGGAACGCCAATTGATTCAATCAAAGGGAGATTTGAGTTCTACTTTTTCTAATTAAAAAAGAAAAAAAGAACAAAAGAGATTCTTAGATGACAATGATTGTTTATGGCAAAGGCAAACTCCTTACGTCCCACAGTAATGTCCCGGTTTCCCTAGTTTAGATGCCACCCACCTGATAGTAAAAGGAAAGAAGGTGAAGCAGAGGGACCGATTTTGATTACGTTAATATTCATGCTTAGCACTAATTGCCACTAATGGGGTTGCTTTTATTAAAGAATCCATACATAGGCAGAAATGCATCATGGACAATCGAATCGCACTTATGGGTTGTGGAGGACAAATTCAGATTCGAACATTCAATCATAGTCACAGATACTAAACAAATAGAATCAAATCATTTCTTATCCATTTACAGTCCTTTTTCTCATCTAAGTGATTCAATTTTCTCAGCAGTCTATAAATTACAAGAGTCGTCTATAAAGCTCTCTAAGTGATACAAAATCCATAGTATAAAGTACTGATCCAGGCAAGCTAATTAAACAAGCCATTCAGATACTAGTTCTATGGCCAAGCCAAGTTTTTGGCAATGGAATTCTCCAGTTCCATATGTCTACTGCTTTTTTGCCTTCCTCTTGGTGCTCCTTGCCTGTGCTTTAGTCATTCTGTTCTGCTCTCATCCATTTTCCTCAGAATCCAAAAGCGATGCAGAAGAAAAGGAAACAAGAAACTTGAGCGCTGTAGATCCAGAGACGATCACAGTATTAGTAGTCTTGCCAGGACATGCCAATCCCATGTACGTAGCAAAGCCCCTGGCTTCTAGTACTGCTGCTTCTGCAGCTAACCACCTGTAAATCATGTATAGCTTTTTAGCTTTGAAGATGGATGTTTGACTGTAACTTTGGAACGTTTTCACCATGTTTGTATTGCAATACAAAGAATCTGACCGAATTTTCCACGGCTTTTCAAAACAGTGGCATCGGGATTTTCAATCCTGATTCATGAATGTCAAGAAATCTATCATGTCATATCTAAGATGTTTGCACTTTCCAGCATGCTTGTCTAAAAATTCATCTGCATTTTTCATTCTATATATGTCTTCTAATCTAAGTGGATAAATAGTACAGGTACTTTACTAAGTCAGGATTTACAGCTGGCATCGATCATTTCACACTACTGTGTTTCTAAAGATTTTTATAGCATCTGAGTCGCTTTTTTTTTTTCTTTTTCTTTGAAGATCAATCAAGATCTTATCCATTGTTGCAGTCTGATTAATCTTTTCTGCATTGATAATGTATAAAGAATTCGAATTCGATACATACCTGATGCTACTTCATATTAGCTTGTGTTGTAGTATTAGATTATTTTGCATTGATACATTGTTGCAGTCTGATTAATCTTTTCTACATTGATAATATATAAAGAATTTGAATTTGATACATATCGGATGCCACTTCATATTGGCTCGTGTTGTAGTATAAGATTATTTGACTCTTGGATGTTGGAGGAAAAAGTGTTAAAATATACGAAGTAGGAGGTACAGGACTTTTTTTTTTTTTTTTGTCATCACAGAGAGTATCCCTTGTGAACTAATTTCCCTGTGCCTGTGCATCTGCCTCCCAAGATACTCGAGACGGTAGAAGGAATCGAACCACAATCATATGATGTCAGAACCTAACGAGGCAACCCAACACCAGCCGAGCCGACCTGAGGGCAGGTACAAGACTTTTCTTAGGACAGCGAAATTTTACTTGGTTTCATTGAATTTGATTGAGCCATTGTCAGAAGTAACAATTGTGGTTTGCTAATTCAATTTAACCTCTTCTTTTGCATGTTCATTTTCACACATTTCCTTGACCAATCTTTCTCCTCAATACTGTAGCTCCGCTCCAATCCTGTTGCTATTCGGGCACTGAACTACTGTTACATCTAATGTTTGTCGTGGTCAAAAAAACTGTACTCAACAGCGAGCGGCACTTACCACTAGGCCCAACATCCCATGATTGAAATATTAAAAGAGAGCATGACTATTAATTACCCAATTATTTCATGTAAATCACGCAGTATTAAGTCAAGTAATTGACAATTGGATATTTTTGCTTAAAAAGTACAATTTCCATGCATCATTATTTCTTTTTTATACTTCTTCTTTTCAATTCATTTGGAAAAAGAAAAAGAAGAAGAAGAAGAAAACGTCTGGTTCAGTAATAACATTTTGTCATCAAATGCCTAAACTATAACAAACCTTCAGAAAGCACCTGCAATAGTCTTTCTTGAACAGGTTCAAATTGGCAAGAGCTTTTTTTGGGGGGGGGGCGTTTGGTATATACAGAAGGGACAAGACAATTAACGGGGAAAAAAGGTGTGTGTGACATCAGGTTTGTGAGGACAGATCGAAACAATTTCAGCCATGGCAGCAGCATACAATAGGAAAATTCAGGACGAGGTGCCTGAACGGTCATCAGAGACAACTGTCCCAGGCAGTTCACGGCCTGGATGAGGTCTCAAAAATTTGTGCGGCTCAGATCACGTCTTGTAACTCGATTTTCACGCCATGTGGGACCCACAAAAATGTTGTTCTAATGTTATTCGCTGTTGTTCTATTGTTACACCTTGTACAGATGATGTTACACCATGTATAAATGGTGTTACACCTTCCGGAGCGATTGTTCTGACAACCGTTCCAGCCCCGCGTCCGAAAATTCATGGCAACATAGGAAACTAATTGATTTGAACAGAAAGCAACAACTCCTACTGAGACAAAGAGAATTCAATCATTTCCCAATTTGACTAAATTTTACTATTATCATATTATCCCTGTAGGAACTATGCAATGTGCACCACATTCTTAATTCATATCAGCAATCCTAAATGTGAAAATCGTCAATTACTAGATCTTTCCAGCTTTCTGATGATTTTTGTTCTTTTTGATTAAGAAACATTTGCCTGTTCACATGGAGCCCAAGACAAGTGCAAGTCAAGATACGATCCACCAAAAGGACAACCAACAAGAGTAACACAGTGGCCTTACTTGTCCGGTATTGCAATAGAATAAGCCACAACAGAACAAATGGACGTGGGGAACAACTAAAAAGGAGTTGGGAACAGTGTATGTCCCATGCCATTTGGGGTTCTTTCTTAAGTCTCTTTTGTTCCTTCACTTGAAGCTATATCTGGACCCATGAGATGAGATGTCCCAAGAAAATGAAAGCTCTCCAATTTTTAACATGCATAAAACACAAATGACTGTTGCCACTTCATGTCAATGCTTGCAGTTTGAGATCATCACCTGTACAATGTTATTTCGCTCAAGTTTCTTGGTGCACCAATTTTCAAGCATACTTATTACTATAAAAAACGATGTGATTCCTTACCGAGGGCACTGTTCTAATACTTCAACTTACTGCTTTAGACAAAGAAGATTATTGGACTTTATCTCCAGAAGGATGAATTCGACATTTTGAATCAAATCTCTTTTGTCTTGAAATGAAATTTTTGGTATTGCAGGTTTTATCTTGAGAATGGTAACTTGAACTGCTTGCATCATTATGTACTTCCTTTAAAATTGTGGGAAATTTTCTAGCACAGTAGGATTAAATCTACACAAATACTCCCCAGGCATTAAAGACCCCTAAGAAGTGCCTAGCATGTGAGCAACAAGGCATGATACTTGGGAAAATGACAGGAATTTCGGAAAGGATGAATGCAATAAATGAAGCAGTATATGTTTTACTTTGAATGACAAAGTAGCCTGACCACATAATGGGCAACTATTCTGGATACACGAATTACCTAACAACCGAACGAGACTCGTACATTTACACCGTCCAAAGAAGGCCTTGCATTCTCCCTTTATTTTAAGCGCAAGAAACATATAGTATGTGCTTTATGATGAGCAGACCCCCTAAAGGCTAAAGCAAAGAAAGTTGAGAATTAAGAATCCTCTGGGGATATCCTGATCTAGGTATAACTGCAGTTTGGTTCTTTCTTTCGTATTACTCCCTATCAAAGTGGAAAAGCTGCATCCTTATTTATTTCATGGCGTTATGTTTTATTTGACATGACACAGAAGTGATGTACCCAGTAAAATTAATGAGGAAGGAGATAAAGAAAGAAGAAGTTGTTTCTCTCTAACCCACATTAAAACCAAGGGCACAACTCACATATTCTCTCAGTTGCACGTAGGGCTATAGGCATCTGTGTATTTGCATTTAAGACTAGCTTTTCATTGATGGCATGACCAGAGTAGTAAAAGTTGCATGTTCTCTTCTCTTGGTTAGAGGAAAAATCAAAAACATGTCCTTTCAAATTCAAGGAGACTTGGCTTGAGCGGTGTTTTTATGCTTTTTGTATGACACATCTCTCTTTCTTTTGGCAGCTTCTAGCTGTACTGGTGATGTAAAGTCAGGAAAAATAATTAATTGGCTATTTAGATATCCAGGTGGTGAAATTTAATCCAGCTAATAAAAGAGAATAAAATAAATAGTCGGTTGTGTTGCTTTCAAAAGTATAAGATAGGCATGTCTGTTGTTCATGATAGAGCTGTATTGGTCAGACAGGAGAAAGCACATGTGGTTTTCACAGGTGTTTTAGTTTAGTTCCTACGCTGATCTCTTGTAGTATCTCTAAAGACTACACTACCGTTTCTTGGTTGTTCTTCCAACCTTTCTTTTATTTAGCCCTCAAAATGGATTCTTCCCAAGTTTTTGGAGGTGCAGAAGAATGCCACAGCAGTGAATCCGGGTGGACTATGTACATTGGCTCTCCTGTGCAAGGTGAGGAGGATGATGATATTGATCCAAGTGGCTATGATGCTCATGGAGAATTTGATGGTAGCTGAAGAAAATCATAAGCTAATCATCATGATGCAAATAGTGATGATTCTATGGCCTCTGATGCTTCTTCTGGTCCCAGTCATCGAGAGCAACCGTGGAAGGCTGGTCGCGGAATAACTGAATACTACAAGGGGCATGACGCCAATGTTGATGGGAAACATTGCTCCAGCCACAAGAGCAAGAAGGCGGGAGTCAAGAAGAATAGGCATGAGAAGAAGAATAAAGAGAAGGATGAGGCTGAAGTTGCTGCAAAGGGAGTCAAGCATTTTACGCAAGGTAGTAAGGTGAGGAAAAATCTAGGATGTGGGAAAAGAAACTAAATGAACTGAAATCTCCATATCCTTCTTCTTGCTGTGTCAGTCATCAATAGAAGAAGTTATTTTGAAGCCTGTAGAAATTAGAATCTGGCATGAGCTTAAAATGTTTCCAATTAGATATGTTAGCAATTTTTGTACTTTGGCCATGTGATAAATATATTAATTTTTAGGACATGCACAAGTACATGATTTTAAGTAAAGTATTCCATTATTATGCTTGAGAACAAGACACAAGCATAAGCTATGTGCATGTACTTGAGCAGGCGAGGGAAATGAGAATCTGTTTGAAAAATCTCAGAATATCATATCGTTTGTATGCTTTGAGCATCTCAAATAAGATTTCTTAATCGTATGATTTATTTTGTCTATGGTTCTCATGGTTGTATATGATTATGCAACACTAGAAACGATTAGTCAACATCAGCTGTAAAAAGTTATTTTAAGCTAAAAAACAACAGGTTGCTGATAAATTCCATCCATATAAGTTCGAACTTTGAACAGGCATAAACTGAAAAGCATCTACAGGTGTAGCCTCCACAACATCAAATTTTGTGTAATCATATGTCTGTGTGCTTGAGGGTGTTCCTTTTACTTGGACAGAATGACCAGAAGAGAGAAAAGGAAGTATGCAATTCTATGATTTGCTCTCAACAAATCTAGAGAAAGCATGTTTGGAAGACATCCTCTACATAAATTTTAAGCCAAAAGACATCAGCTAATTGAAGGTTAACTCGAAATTCTTGAACGTTTCTTTTCTTGTCAGCAAATGATAATCCTTCCGTTGATCAGCAGACAAGCTCTTACAAAGCTGGTCAACCTCTAAATAAATCAACCACCATCCGCGTCCTATACAGCACTCTACAGAGGAGAGATCTAAGATCAAGAAAAGAAAGCATACAATTCCTAACTCCGCAAACATCTCAGATCAATTCCTTATTCCAGCATCAATTCCCAGTTAGAAATTCTAGCAGCATTAGTTCTCTCATTTCATCTTCTTATATTTCAAGAGGGATATTTTAGCTCCTTTAAGACAAGTTTAGGAGCATCAACCAGCCGTGAACAACTATAGATATATTGATCAGGCAAAATTTGCTCTGTGGAAAATGCAAATAATTGACCGAACTACGCTTTCTCAACAGTCATTCGCTTGAGTAGGCTCAGTCAGAAGCCATTGACAAAGTTTGCACTTAAAATTTGCTGGACTTTCAGCATTTTCCAATGCCATATTGCCAGCATCGCTGGTAACTTGATTAGGTAGCATCAAGAAATGAATGGACAATCAGCAAAGGGACTAATAAAACATGCGATATTAAGGAAGAAAGAGAACCAGAAACAACCTACACCGTCCCTCTACCATTGATGAGTAGGCAGAAAAAATGGAACAAGCCACTCATATTTGCTAGCTCGTACACAGCAACATGTATCCGGAGATGTGACTATCTTAGACACTTATTCTTTTTTTTTTTTTTTGATTACACACAAGGTGTTATAGCCTGAAAGTACATCAACATAGGTGACTTGAGGGGTTGGACCAAAATTAACACCATAAAATGAAGATTTAAATTACAACATTTATGTACAGCCTGTCTACAGGGTGGCAAGCACTCTCTGAGAAAATGGCCTCACTTAATTAAGCTACGAAGAGATTTCTGTAGCATAGAGTCTAACTAGTTAGTACTCGTACTATCACTTCACAGAGTTTTCAGCCCTTGTAGCATATAAAGACTAATTCCTGAAATTAATCTTGTGATACCAATAAATTATGCCGGTTATATAAACTACAAATTCAACTTTGCTGATTAATGGAAACAATTCCTTGGGAATTTCAGCTAAAAGGCAGCAGATGAAAGGTAGTCACTGATTTTGATTTGAATAATAATTTGTTGTAAAACTTATAATCCGGTGATCCATCTGCAAAACTACAGAAGAAGAAAATGGAACTATCAACCAAATTGTCTGCAGTGCAGCTCTCGTGGGACATATTTTGGTCTGGACATGTAACATTCTTGGACAAAATCAAGAAAGAGCCATGTGATCACTAATCTTTGTTCTTTTCCTAACCTTGACAATCATTCTTGAGGGGAGGTGGACAGAGAGAATGACTCGACTAAATCATACAAAACTATCCCGTCTCTTTCCTGTGTCCACACTCCCTCGTGCATGTTTCCCTATATGCGTTGAAGGGAATCATCAGAGTTTTAATCCAGCCATAATTGGCATTTCGCGCCAGCGCTATTAGGAGTTTGAGGACAAAAGTAATTGCCCATGGGCTCCATCAATTCCGTTGCATAAACTGAAGAAAAGCAGAATTTTATCTGGTGTTGATATTAATTCCATCACTAAATACATGCCTTTGTGAATTGTTAATTTTTATGCTTTCCAAGAATGTTATCTTGGCAGGTTGTAGCACTAAGGCCCAAAGGATACGCAATTGTAACACTAGTAAAGTTGTGGGCTTCTTGAGCAAGTGTGAGGCTGAGTGATAATACTTAAGCTCGTGTTTCCATTTAATGTTAAAAGATTAAAGCTAATGTTGAAACTTTAGGACAAAATGTGTACTTATAACTACCATTCACCAGCATTTCATCATCAAGCATCTATAGACTGTAAGGCCAAAATTCTTGAATCCGAGATATAAGGTCACAGGTCTGATTAAGGCACTGGTGTCTCAAATTGTTCAGAGCAATGCAGCTGAGGTGGCATCAAGATTCAAGAGAATGAATTAGTGGGATAATCACTTTCTAGCAAACTATTCTGTTAAATTTAATCTCCTTTAGATTTAAGCCTTGGCCTAGCGTGCACTTCAGTCTCACTTGAGGTCTTCAGGTTTGTCATTGTTGCCTGACAGTTCAGCCTTAAGGAGTACTAAGGCGTGGTTTTACCGGGCTAATGAAGTTTGGATCAAAATGTATTGAGCAACAAGAATCCAAACGAACTTCCCCTTCTTTGATTAGTTGTGACAACATCAAAAGATGAAACAAGAAATGCATGAGAGTAACTTTGCAACATTTATACTATGGCTTGCCTGTAGACAAAGACTCAGCACAAAAGATAGACTTTGCTCATCGGGTGTGAATGTAGATCCATTAAGTGGTTTTTGTTCTGCAGCTTCTGAATCTCCAAGTCATTTTTTTTCCCTTTATCCTTTCTCTGCTTATATAGGGGAGGAAGTGCAAAGTACATGTTTAGTTTTCAGGAAAGCTATTGGACTGGGAACATGCAATTGATGGTTCAACATTGCTCCAAAGACTCTTTTGCTTGCTATGTTTGAAGAGTAGCTTTTGCAGCTGTCGTGTACCATGTTTGGCATAGCACAAATAAACAGGTTTTCCAGCATGTGCTTTATCCTCCCGAATCTGTCATTCAAACTATCCTGAAGGATTTGAAGGATATTAGTTCAGGTTGGAGAAAACTGGAGAAAAGTTCAGTGAATACCAATCTCTGCAGTGATTTAGGGCTTCCTACTCAATTATTTGATGGCAAACTTTGTTTCGAGATCCTAGAGATAGCTACTGCAACGTTCTTACTGCCAATTTTGACGTTAGTTAGGCTCATTTGTATAGTGGTATACTTTTAGGTTCCTTTTCCATACATATTGCTGTTCTTGTTTGAGGGTTCTGCCCCAAACCTTGTGTCCTCCATTTGCTTATCAATGAGAAAAATGAGCTTACCAAATAAAATAGACTTTGCAACATGTGTCTTTCTACGTAGATGAGGTTGAGAATGAAAAATCTAGAAAGTCAACAGTACAGATATTCTCTTATTTGTTTGAAAAAAATGAGAATTTCTCCAGTGGAAATTAACATAATTCCAAGAAGTTCTGACCTCATTGAGAAGCTACATATTATGCTTATGCATTCATGTCTCGAATATCCTCAACTACCTACTTCACTGTGCATCTCTGTGGTGTATTTTCGACCTGGTCACATTCTTAATACAGCTTTGACGAACCGTAACTGTTTCTACAAGGTCAAACATCAGGACCTGGAAAAATACAAACAGGAAATTATTCATGTCCTGTTTCTACGGGTTTTGACAATTACATATTGGATTGACTTGAATGCATCTTCTCTTGACTTACAATTTTTCCAGAGTCTTTACCAGAAAATTATAAGGAAAGAAAACAACATATAAACAGATTCACACTACCACAACATATAAATAGACGACTTCTATTTCTTAAGCAGTGGGACTTAGCAATCAATACTCCATAAGCCCCCCTCCACTTGCGTACGGTATGTAGACCACAAAGCAGCATTTCAGTCAACCATCATCTATTTCTTTCGTTTTCTGTGTTTGGAATTCGTACAATTATAGTCAAATTCACACTACCATAACATCACCTTATGGTGAAATGATGACAAACATAACATGCGAACAAGACTTCCTCCTAGAAAACACTAATATGCATTCGCCCCAAACCTCCCAAGGAAATGCGTATATGGTTTCCATAATGAGGGTAATACTTTCAACCAAGTCTTCTCTTAGTCAATGGTGATTTTTCCATACGTTATGATTTCAGGTTGATCCTGGTTCTTAATGCTTGCGAGCGCAGGCAGATGCAGGTCTCAAGGTAAAAAGAAAAAAAAGGGCAAAATTTACCCCTTGAAAAATTCACTGCACCACAAATAAAAGAAAGCAGATCACAATATCAATAGAGCTTTGATGGGACAAACGTTCTTCATTCCACAGAGGCCCTCTTTAAAAAAAAAATTCTGAAATTTGCATTGGGTGAAAATATTGTAACCATCTTCACTTCCATCTGAGCCAGGTTACCATTATAAATAGGAGGCCATGCCAATGAAATTACACGAGATTTTCGCATAATCCTTAGCTTCTTCCCTGACTGACAGCATGGCCAGTGACTCACTTCAATATTTTCTCTTTCTAGTACTCATATCTCAGGCTATAAACCCTTGGATTAAACAGGGTTTTTGCACTGAAAATTCGAGGGACAGATGCAATGAAATTGAGAGGAAATCACTGCTCCAGTTTAAAGAAAGTCTCAGTGATCCTTCAGGGAGGCTGTCTTCTTGGACTGGAGAAAGCTGCTGTAATGGAAAGGAGTGACCTGTGACATCAAAACAGGACATGTTGTCAAGCTCAATCTCCGAAATCCCTTTCCACAAACCTTTGATCCAACTCCAGAAAGCTTTGATGGCAATGGAATGGTCTACGAACTAAGCGGTAAGGTCAGTCCTGCTTTAGTCAATTTGCAACATCTGAGTTATTTTGATCTAAGCATGAACAATTTAGGGACTCAAATTCCGGGATTCCTTGGATCCGTCACAAGATTGAAATATCTCAATCTATCTGGTGCATCATTTGCTGGCAAAATTCCTTCGAGTATTGGAAACTTATCAGGATTACACTATCTTGATCTCAATTCTTACACTGATGAACCTGTTAAGAATGACATCCAATGGTTGTCTGGGCTATCTTCTCTGAGGTATCTTGATTTGGGAGGCTTGGACCTTAGCCGGGCTTCATCTCATTGGCTTCGACAATCAACATGCTTGCTTCTCTTTCAGAGTTGCATTTATCCCAGTGTCAACTCCTGAATCTTCCAAATTCTCTTCCATTTATCAATATCACATCCCTTTCTGCACTTGACTTATCCAGAAACAATTTCAACTCTACCATGCCAAACTGGTTGTTCAACCTAAGTTCCCTCACAGACCTTGATCTGTCCTCAAATTATGGCATCAGAGGTCAATTATCCAGGAATCTTGGAAACCTTTGCAAATTGAGAGCACTAAATCTCAATAGTAATAACATTTTTGGTACACTAACGGAAGTCATTGATGGCTTATCCGAGTGCACCAATAGTAGCATGGAGACATTGGACTTGACCTTCAATCAATTAAGTGGAAATATTCCCAATTCACTGGGCTTCCTCAAGAACCTGCGAAGTCTTCGACTTCGAAATAACTCATTCACAGGTTCAATTCCAGACACAATTGGAAACTTATCATCCTTGGAGCAACTATATCTCTCATACAACCAAATGAGTGGGGCCATTCCTGAGAGCCTGGGAAAACTCGTGTCCTTAGTTTATTTGGACCTGCATGAGAACTCATGGGAAGGAGTCATAACAGAAGCCCATCTGGTCAACATGTCCAGATTAACGGAGATATCAATTGGTAAACTTTCAGAAAATATTTCCGTGGTGTTTAACATTAGTCCTGACTGGATACCACCTTTCAAGCTCAAATTTGTCCAAATTCAGTCATGCCAACTCGGCCCAAAATTCCCAACTTGGTTGAAAAATCAAGATCAGCTGAAAAATCTAATAATTAACTTTGCAAGGATTTCAGATTCGATTCCAGAATGGTTCCTACGGCTGGGATTGCACTTGGATGAACTTGATCTAGCATACAACAACTTAAGCGGGATGCCACCAAATTCATTGCAATTCAACCTCGGATCAAATGTGGACTTGAGTTCCAACAGCTTCAAGGGGCCCCTCCCACTCTGGTCATCTAACCTGACTACTCTATATTTAAGGAATAACTCTTTCTCTGGACCAATTCCACGAGATATTGGTATGGTGCTCCCACTTCTGACAGACCTTGATATCTCCAGGAACTCACTAACTGGTGGCATTCCCTTGTCAATAGGTAACATGACAAGTTTGACAACCTTAGTCATCTCAAATAATAGGTTGTCTGGTGACATCCCAGACTTTTGGTCTAATATTCCAGATCTTTACATTTTGGACATGTCAAACAACAGCTTGACTGGTAGAATACCAACATCCATAGGCTCTCTTAGCTTCGTCAAGTTTTTGATACTTTCAGGGAACAATCTTTCAGGAAAACTACCTTCCAGCTTGAGAAATTGCACTTCTACTTTCAGTCTTGATCTTGGTGACAATCAATTATCAGGACGCCTTCCAGCCTGGATTGGGAAAGACATGCCGTCCCTTTTGATTCTTCGGTTGAGGAATAATTCCTTGACAGGAAACATTCCCTCTAGCATTTGTGCCTTATCTTCTCTTCACATCCTAGACCTTTCTGAAAACAGCCTGTCTGGGATCATTCCTACCTGTTTGGGAAATTTGAGTGGCTTCAAAGCTGGGTTAAAAACTGAAGATACGGAGCCATATGAAGGGCGCTTGCAGGTGGTTGCCAAAGGAAGAGTTCTCGTGTATCAATCCACACTTTACCTAGTAAACAGCATAGATCTCTCAAGCAACAAATTCAGAGGCAACATTCCTGCTGAACTCACAAGCCTGTTTAGATTGGGGACGTTGAACTTGTCAATGAATGGCTTAACTGGGCCAATCCCAGAAACCATTGGGAGATTGGAAAGGATTGAAACTCTTGACTTGTCAATGAACAAACTCACAGGGCGTATTCCACAAAGCATGGCTGCTTTAACTTTCTTGAATCACTTGAATTTGTCACACAACAATTTGTCAGGTCGAATTCCGACAGGTAATCAGTTTCAGACCCTCACTGATCCATCAATCTACGAGGGTAACATTGCACTTTGCGGAGATCCACTACCAACCAAGTGCGAGAACAGTGGAACCAAACCTTACCCTGGTGGCAATGTTGACGAGGATGAGAATGAAGAAGATGATCTTGAAAAGTTGTGGTTCTTTCTTGTTGTGGGGCTGGGATACTTTCTTGGCTTCTGGGGTGTTTGTGCTGTTTGATACTGAAGAAAAGCTGGGAGATGCCTACTTCAACTTTCTTCTGGATTAAAAGACAGGATTTTGATCTTGCATTTGCCAAATGGAGGAAGGCTTGAACATTGAAATTGATTGCATGGAGAATATATACCTGAATTGAAGTACTACAAATGACCATGCATGGATATCACGCAACGAATAATTGTTTAATGATGCATACCTTTCTTTAAGTACTGAAGAAGTCTAATAATTGTACCAATCAATCTAGATAGGTTTGCTTCATTTTTTCCCCCCTAATCTTTATGTATATTACAAATTAGTGAATAAGTTTACTTTCTAGATAAAATACTTTTTTTTTTCCGGAGAGGACAGCAGTTGTATAACCTAATTTATTCTACTCTTTAAGGGGGAGGAGGCGGACCTAAGGAGGTCCAGAAATAACTCGAAGAGAACTGAACCACCATCGGATCAAACGGGTACACAACACACTCGTTTGAATTTTTTTGAAGCAAAAATGTGATATTTTGTGGGAGCAATCACCAAGCTAGGTGGTGGCCACCGCCCAAAGGTTGATGGTTTTCTAGATAAAATACACAATACTCCTATTTTCAATAACTGAATCTGAGTAGCAAAATTAATTCCAGTGAATTGTAAGCAAGAGTGATTCCATATACAACTGCACCCCAAATTCAAGCATTTTGATCGCAGAAAAAAAAACCATTAAACCAAAACACATTGTACTCCACCCTTTTTTTAAAATTTATGGCAGCATAACACTCTATATATTTTGTTTATTCTTTTTCTATATTTTGTATATTATTTTGAAAATTTAAAACCAAAAAAGAAAAAAAAACAATATCAAATGGAAACACCTATCCCTTAGTTCACAGATCATACAATTTCTTCTTCTTCTTCTTCTTCCTTTTTTTTTTTTAACGACTTTTACATAGGCATAGGTAGTCCAATACTTAAGAATGAGAGCCTTTTACTTGTTATCAGTGACGTGGCACTAAACCACCCGTCCTCCTCGAGTGAGTATTTCATCACCACCGACCACCGTCTTCTCTTCTTTCTCACTCTTCACTCCACGCTTAAAATTCGATTTTTTGAGGAAAAAATGTCCAAGTATCTTCTCCTTCATACTGCTCATCTGACCTCCATTCATCTCCGGGCCAGCGTTTCCTCCTTCTTCTCCCCAAAAACGCGCCGCCATCAGTGGTTAGCATCTCCACTTCTCGGTCTCTCTATGACTCTTTTGGACTTACATAGGAGCTTCTCGATTAAAGCGTTCGACACTAAAAACGACAACGCTAGGGCGGCGGAAGCTGAAATTGATGGTGAAAATGGAGATTTGAAAGGTATTTCAGTGACTATAATGATGATAAGTATCCGAGTGGCGAGTTTCAGTTCCGCGACTACCCGCGTGGCAAAGCTTCGTCGTCAAATGTAAAATGCTCTTTGCCTTTCCTTGGAGCGCGTGCCGCAAAGGCAGTGTTTGACTATGAAATTGCGACAGGTTTATAGTCTTAATTTCTTTCTGTTCTCGAAATTTATTCAGAGTAGCATACGAATTGTTGGTTAATTATTTCGGAAAGTTTAATCTTTGTGATTTTGGTTTGACTATGTTAATTTGTTCTGATCTTACTTATATGCTTTTATGCTGAATTATACTCCTTAGAAAGACGTACACTTTTTTTTGTTTTTCTGGGGGGGGGGGGGTTGAGAGATGGGGGATTTTTTTTCAATTCTTTTTAGGCTTTAATTCTACATCTATGAAAGAGAATGTGGTAGAAGGAATAGAATTGGGTGGAGATTGAGGATGGAATGCAACTGCAAAATACTAATTTTTCTTGTTGTTTGTTTCTCAACTAGAGCTTATAAGGTAATGGGTTGAGAAGTTTATTGTTTTTATGTCAGATAACTGATCAGCTAAAGAGCCGTTTCTCTTCAGGACTTTCGCTGCCTCAAATATGCGAGAACCTTGTAAAAGCAGCTTATGATCCTCGTATCTCTTGGTGTATATCTTCACATTGAGCCATTGAACTGTGGCTGGGTAAAATTGAAAAATTCGAAGGCATATTTTGGATTTTAAGAAATCAGGTTATAGTACTTATTATGTTCAACTTATTGGCTTGAATGAGGAAAAGCATTTTCGAGTTAAATGTTCATAAGCAGTGTTTGCTGCAGGCAAGTTTATTGTGGTTATGCACCAGCATGTGGAGAGAAAGAGTATTATATTGGATGTGCCTTGAAGAGCTTTATGCTCCTCCAAGTGCTTACTTTGCATTGTTTGCTTGCAGTTCAGCATCATTCTGGGAGTAACTGGATTGTCTTGTTTCCGTTGTGTCTCCTTTTAGTTGCGTAAAACTTTTAACCAATGGTGATGGGAAGGATGAGGACTTTTGACCATTGATCTGTGTAAGATTGTAATTTTTTTCCTAGTGAAAGATTGTGGGAGACAGATAACTTTATCAGAGGCCTCCTGCCCATATTTAATCCCTGCTCATAATAATAGATTGCAAATGCGGGTACCAATGTTGATGATATTTCTGCCAAGTACAATGAACATTTCATTGTGATGCCCATGAGTTCATCATAATTCTGATAGATGTCTCAATCTTTGAGAATAAATCAGTTAGGACCTTGACTTTCTCCTGGCAAATGAGCTGCCACTTACTGTAAGGTTGTCAGTTCACTAGGCAAAATGCATGTTTCTTTAGAGTAGGATTATCAAGTCTGCAAACCTTTGTGCAAGTCTATTTTGACATGCTTTTCAGTCGACAAAAATTTGACTTTTCAGGTGCTTGAGAACATTGAATTGAGCCACAAGTGCAAAGGATTGGCAAATATAAAAGTGCTGGAGATCAACTCACTCGGAAAAATATATCTGAAGAAAACAGGGAGATGCTGACCACATTGCTTGACAATATTTATATCCATTGGCTTGATAAAGTCTCTGTTGCAAGAGGTAAATTGATCTTAAATTTTCAGGCTGATGTTGGAACGAGAGACTTTCTTTTTTCTTTTTTTGAGTTAATTGCTCTTGGATTTTGTTGAAAAGAAAGAAGCAAGAAGATTTACAAAACTTTATAGATGAAGGTGTATACCAAGTTGAAAGGTTGAAAGAAGAGGCTTGATTACTGATATAAAGTATGATGATGAGTAAAGTTGCTCCTTCTATTGAGAGAATCAATTTTCTGAATTATCCAAAAAAATTCTTATCATTGCTGGTTTGCAAAGCCGTCTTTAGAAGTCATACTTCTACTAGTTAAACGTGTTTCAAGGATCAAGACAATATAGATTGAAAAGAACACGAACTTGCAAGGAAATTATTATCTATACTGGTTGGGATCAAGATAACTGTATGTTTAGATAATCCGACCATTAGCTACTAATACAAATATCAGTATCTGCCTGAGTCAGTGTTCAATTGATATTGTGTCATTCTTGTATTGCTCCAGTATTTAGGTAACTGGATAATGGAGTTGTCATACAATTTCATTTCTTGTTCAATCAATTCTACTTTGGACAAGATCAATCTGGCCCTAATGACAGTCTTGTCCATCTGATGTCTACTCTGGCATCAAGATGGAATCTGATACTAATCTTAATGATACACAAATGGTGTGTAAACCTGTTGGGCTCTCGATCCTGGTTAAAGTCATAGCTTGACTGGCAATTGCTTATCCTGTTTACCCTGTTAATAGTATAGTAATGAACTTACACCAGGTTAATTGATTTGTCTTGTATAGCTGTGTTATTGGCTTTTAGATGTATCAAACAAGCCTCTACATGACTTTTTTGATTGTTGGGCGCTACTGATGGCTTTGCTACCATCTACAGGTCAGAGCAATGTTAAAGGAGCGCTTGAAACTTCCAAAGGATAAAAGTCTTCCCATGGTTGATTACAGGTGACTTTTCCTGAGCTTTTTCCCATCAATCAGTCAGCAACAATTTTCTTATTGCTTCCAGCTTCAGAACATGGTGTCCGTGCTACTATGTCATGCTTTGCTCCAAGAATGTCATTTCAGATGTTTCATCCACCTTGCATATTCAACTGCTTGCAGCATCAGGCATTGCCCAACTCTGATATCTTATGTTCTGACTCTGAAAGCCTATATTACTCATCCTGTCTAGTTCAGCGTCTGGATAATTTTGTGAAAATAAAACTTTAGTAAATTGCAAAGAATGTAATATTTTCTGAAACTATCCATACTTGCTACAAGTTGCTGATAATGTCTCTTTTTTGTTCTTTATATAGGTTGAAAGGTTTGCTAAAGCTTGCATCTTGGCCTTCTGGTTTTATTTGTTTGTGTTTGTTATTATGACCGATAATTTGACCTCCTGATTATACAGAAAATACTCAGGAGTTAGGAGATGGACGCTTGGTTTAACAGGTTATAAAGACCAGATAGCTGTAATTAGAGCCTCCGGAAGCATTAGTCGTGTACGTGGTCCTTTTAGTACACGTGGTACGGGAATTATTGCTGAGGATATTATTGAGAAGATTCAAACCGTAAGAGGTACTTTTCACCTAATTATGTTTTCTGGGGGTTAATCTTTTGTGGTTTGAAATTGAAGGGCTTGTACGTTGTAATGGTTCACAAAATTGGTTTATCTGAAAAAGTGTCTGACATCCTTATGATCTCAGGAATTGAGAACATTAGTTTCCAGTTATTTGGATAAGTAATTTATCTTGGAGTTACTTATGTATGCCATGGAAATAAAAAAAAAGGCAAATCATTAGCCAATAATTGGGTAAAGTATAAATGAAAACTTTCTTGCAATCTCCATGATTCCATAAGAATCAAGTAAACTTGTCACTTAATTTAACCATTATCATTCATTTCTCTTCAAGTGTTAGTTTTCACCTGGACTCATCAATGATGCTCTGTATCTGCAAAATTCAACATGCTTTCATTCCGTTCAGTCCTGGAGTTGTTGCCCGGTCTCTTTTGTTCAGTGCTTTTCCAGTTTGTGACCCTGAAAATGGATGAATTCGTATCTTTTCACCTTACATCATCCTTTCTTTTGTAATTACCTTTATAATTTTTTCAACCTCTGCTTACAGTCACTGTATTGTCCTTCTGTTATTCCTTCCTGTTTTCTACAAGTGCAACTGATGGTTGCAGGGAGTCAGGTAATGGGCTTGAGATTGTGGGGTTTGAATGAGTTGATATCATTGATGCTAACCACCTGTTCATGTTGGTAAATGAGCTGTAAAATATAATTTTTCTTGGTGGTGATAAATGGTTGTTACTGTGGATGATATTTTAAGTAAGAGCTGTTTTGGAACTTGGAACCTTGATCCCGTTCTTCAAGTATAATCATATTGGATAAAAGTAAGATTAGTCCTATAGATGGACCATATTTGTAGCAGTTCACCAGAACTAATAAGAAATTTGATGAGCTACAGAAGGCCTTGTACATTGTAAGAGTGTTGGTTTCGATGTTCTTGCTCTGTTTGAAATATTTACCCTCTTGCTCTTTCTGTTAATGTTGTCATAGTTCTGCAGAGTCGAAAAAATACAAGGCTGTTATCATCCGCATTGATAGTCCAGGAGGTGACGCTCTCGCATCTGATTTGTAAGTTTCTTTTTTACCAGATTTCCTTCTTACAATTTTCATTTTTCAAGTCATGCAATAATAGAATGTATTCTTAGCTCTGTACTGTGTGATTTATGGCAAAAAGTAGGCACTCATCTAAGTGAATACAAAATTTAAGGGAAACATAAAACAAAAACCTGCTGCAGACCAGCCTGATGAAGCAGTGAGATCTAACTTGGGCATCATTATGCTTTTCAAGGACTGTGAGATAGAAGCCCTGATATTGCATAAAATCTTTTCAACATATCTGTGAAACTATTTTCGTATTTACGGTCTTTGAGTCTCAATTGTGATCACTGTAAGTGCTTACTTCAAAAATTCACTGAGGAAGAGCTATATCTGGGAAATGTAAAGATAGGTTTGAAACCATAGATCCTTCTCATTTTTGTTGTTTCGCTTAAAATTTTAGTTCACCCATTAACGTTTACGTTTCTGAGGTCTGTGCTCTAAATTTGATACCCCAAACAGTTTACAGTATGCTTGCGATGATGAAATGCACACACTCCGCTCTTGGCAACAATATCTGCAGTTTTTTGGGAAATTAAATGTGACAAGCTGATAGCTTATTTCCCAAACTCTGATGAATGGTTCAGTGATCCATAAAGATTGTTTCTACAGAATGTGGAGAGAAATCAGACTCTTGGCTGACTCTAAGCCTGTTGTTGCATCAATGGCTGATGTGGCGGCTAGTGGAGGATATTATATGGCAATGGGAACTGGAATTATAGTTGCTGAAAATCTAACATTGACTGGTTCAATTGGAGTTGTGACAGGTAATTATGGAAACTCCAAGTGATAATTTTCTTAAATTATATCTGTTCTTTGTTATGTGATTTATATGTCATTTGTTGTTTAAGACCTTTTCAGTAGCTATGGTGATGGATTTTGTATGATTCTTTGTTAAGTGATTTATATGTCATTTGTTGTTTAAGACCTTTTCAGTAGCTATGGTGATGAATTTTGTATGAGCAGAAACCAACTGGAGAAAAGAGATAATGATTCCACAAGAAGTGCATGTAGCATTTTAAATGTGTCGCCTGGCTAGAAATAACCAGATAGTCCCAATGGCGCTCTGGTATTGTCTATGGGAAGAGCATTTGATAGGGCCCAAGTCAGGAGTCATTACTGCATTACTGCATGCAGTTGCAGTAATTATCACCTTAGACAAGTTTAGAATGCAGGATTAGCTACTTGTAATGTTATAAATCAGATTTAGGTGGGAATGCTATCTAATTTGATAATCAACTGCAGGAATGAGGTCACCTAAGTAATTAGATGTACCTAATTGTGATTTAGCTAGCAAAAGTACTTGTCTACCAGGTATTTTTTTCCTGTTCTACCGACACGGCATTAGTGGAATTTTATTTTGTGTTTTCCACTGCTTTGTTATGCGAGCTCTGATAGCTTTGGTTATTATTTCTCACAATTCAATTTTTCTGCCTTTTCTTTTTCTTGTACAGTTGTTGCAAATAGATGAGTAGTGTTCGTTGTTTAAATTAAGCACCTTTGACCCAAGCCTAGCTTTCCACTGGAGATTGCACAAAATGTATTCATGCACTATTGGCTGATTTTGTCAGAGTAACTGTTTTGGTGCAGGAAAGTTCAATCTGGGAAAATTATACGAAAAGATTGGCTTTAACAAGGAGATAATATCAAGGGGGAGATATGCTGAGCTCACTGCTGCAGAACAACGGCCATTTAGGTTAGTTTTTGTTCTGCTGTTTGGAGAATTTCTATTCATTAATTAAAATGGACAGCATTTCCTTCGTCATTTACACGACAAATTTATGAGAAGGTAATGGATTAAGGAAAAAAAAAGGTGTTACAATATAGATGCTTCTTTTCTAGCCCAAGTAATTCACTTCCTCAACAAGAATATTTGATGTGCCACATATGCCGATGTTGCCTATTATCAGATATTAGACAGTAAAACTGGAGTCCAGTGAGGCACATTTATGTGGCCAAACCATTATTATGCGCAGATTTATTAGCTTCATGTTTATCATTTCATTTACCCTTGATATCCATTTTTGGGGTAGCAGTCTGCAGACATGCTTAAGTTTGTGCACAGGCATACAGAAAAAGGGGTTAATTTCTGTCATCTTGCATCTCCTCCTGCACCCCTTAAGTGCCATTCTTTTTGCATTTTTATCCATATACTCCATTTGGGGGAAAAAAAAAGGAATGATAAAGAAACTACCTGTAAATGCTGGGAATGAAAACGTAATACATAAACTTGATTTAAACTTTTGCATGATTGAACAACAGAATTGAGCTTGATTGCAGTTGATCTGAAACTACATACATGCCCTAGGCTTTTTGATTGCAGTTTTAGTCCATCTGAATGTTAAGTGAATGATATCTTTCTTTTGCACTTCAACCTCCACTCACAATGTTGGAAAAAATGGAAAGCAAAGGTAATTACACTTGTGAATGTCCGTGATTATAATCCTCCTCTTTGCTTCATTGTGTTTGATCGCAGAGAAATTTATTATAAGTTCTTATCTCTTTGATGCTGTATTTGCATCCAACATTGTGGTAATTGGCACTAATTGCATTTGATCATATGTGCAGACCTGATGAGGCAGAACTCTTTGCTAAGTCTGCCCAGAATGCATATAAGCAGTTTCGGGACAAGGCTGCCTTCTCAAGATCAATGCATGTATGGTACACTAAGTTATGCATCTTTGGCTTATGTTAAACTGGAAATCATCTTCGTGAAGTTCCAGGTATATGTGGTAGGTTGATAAAATGGAGGAGGTTGCACAAGGTAGGGTGTGGACTGGCAATGATGCTGCTTCACGAGGTTTGATTGATGCAATTGGTGGGCTTTCTCGAGCTGTTGCTATAGCCAAACAAAAGGCAAATATACCTCAGGATCAGGAGGTATTTCTAGTTGTTCTTATTACTTTGAGATATTCTGGGGTTCTACCATTGAGTAAATTTAATAATCCTCTCTGGAATGTTGATATGATTGTCATATATTGGTGTAGATGACATTAGGGAAGAGGTTAAGAATTAAGTTTGCTCAATACAAACTTTTCCCCAAGAAAAAATAAAAAACGAGGAAAAAAATAGCCTTAGTACGAGTTAGGATACTAAGATATATGTGTTAGATAAACCAGAGAAGCATTACATAAGGAAAACGTGATTTGGGTACTGGATCTGTGTTTAGTCATCATGGTTGAGCATTTCTGTTCTGTCTGCAAAGTTGATGCTAAATAATCGTGCTTGAAGTTTTCTCTTCTGTCTGCGAAGTTTGTTTACATGATTACGTTACAAATCTGCAATCAATTTTGATGAGATGGGCTTCACTTTTCTGTTATGTTAATTTTTTCTGTTCTTTCTAAAGGATTGACTATTCATGTTCAGGTTACTCTTGTTGAGCTGGTCAAACCATCACCATCGCTGCCAGAGATTTTAACTGGCATAGGAAACTCTCTTGTCGGAGCAGACAGAATTTTGAAACAACTATTGGATGAATTGGCAGTTTCTGATGGAATTCAAGCGCGCATGGACGGGATTATGTTTCAAAAGTTGGAAGGGGCTGATTATTCCAGTCCTATATTGACAATGCTGAAAGATTACCTGGGTTCATTTTGACTTTAATGTATAATTGGTCGCTTCCAAATGTTTCATTCTGCTTACGCTTCTGTCCATCGGGAGAATATATTCCTAGATGGGCGTTGAGACATATTCTTGTACAAAAAGATCTCTGCACCGTGTACACGAACACAAATTGAAAAATGAGGGTAGAAAGAAAACCAATTTCTGCCCTCGTCATTTTCTGTCTCCATTTCCATATTGATTCCCCAGACATTAAATGTACACAATATAGGCTGGTCTGTACGTTATGGGGCGACATTTATACTCTTTGGTATGAGAAGTTGACTTCGTTGCCAAATTGTATTTTTGTGTGCTTAAGGGTACAAGAATTTAACCTTTTCCCTTTTGGATAAACATGAAAACTTTGTTGTTACTGACTGGTATGTTTTTAAACAGTAGCAAGCAGCCACACGTTATCTTGGTCCTAAGAACTAAATAGTAACCTCCACAGGAACATCTACCGTCTCTAAAATGATGAAAGCAATTTGTATCTCGTAAAATAATAAAGCAATCTGCATGTCCACAAAGATCTCTGGACCGTGTATGCGATACAAGTTGACAAATAAGGGTTGAAAGGAAACTAATTTCTGCTCTCTTCGTTCCTTTATCCATACCTTTTGATTTCCCAGAAGTTAATGTAACTGGTCTATACATCATGGGGCGACATTCATCCTTTTCGGTACAAGAAGCTCGCCTCATTGCTAAATTGTGTTTTGTGTGCTATGGATTACAAGAATTTCACCTAAACCTGGTCAAAAAACTAATAATAATCTCGACAAGAACATGTCCCGTCTCTAAAGTGATGAAAGCAATTTGAATCTCGTAAAATGATATGACGGCAGAACATTTTCGATATGAATTTCATAGCAGTGTGGCAGTCACCACAGACCCTAAGATTCTTGTATATCCTAATGGGTGCTCCTTGTGGCACATATAGAAGGCCAAATGCAACGGCCAACTTCTCACTATGGTAGGCAAGACCTTGTTCCTTACCCTCGTCGTTGATGTCATGAAGTGCAAATTCACGTCTGGTACATATCCAGCTTTCTTGATTAAACCCATGACTTCACTAGTTTTCGAGTAGATCTGATCGGACTTTGGATGGCTTCTATCTTCAGACATAAACCTGTGCACCTTACCATTCATTTCGAGCCAACTATACCCTGGCTCCTTGCTTATGCACTTTGATTTCATCAGTTTCCTCACTGCTGCAGCATCTTCCCACTTGCCAGCTTTAGAGTACATATTAGACAGCATAACATAAGGGACAGCATCTTGTGGCGTCAATTTAAACAGGACCGAAGCTGCCTTCTTTGCCAGGTCTATATTCCCATGTTTCCTACATGCAGCAAGGAAAACTTTCCAAACAGTCACATCAGGCTCCACAGCCATTTCATCGAGCAACTTTTCAGCTTCGAGCAGTTTTCCTGCACGTCCCAGAAGGTCAACCATACATGCATAGTGATCAGGACCAGGCCTTATTCCATGAACATTTATCATGGATCAAAATATCTACATCCCTCATCAACAAGCCCAGCATGGCTGCAAGCAAACAGTAAGCCTATAAAAGAATGAAGTCTGGTTTTATGCACTGAGTATCATTTGGTCATACAACCCGAGAGACTCCTTTCTTTACCATTCTGAGCATAACCAACTATAAGAGCAGTCCAAGTAATCACATTCCTGTTAGCCATTGCCTTGAAAACTCTGTTGGCCTCTTCTAAGCAACCACAATTTGCATACATTGTCACAAGAGAGTTGTCAACCGATAAGGATGACTGAAGTCCAGATTTCATGAAATTTGCATGAACTTGTTGTCCAAACTCCAGCAAAGCCAACTCTGCACAGGAACTCAAGATGCTAGAAGTGATAACTTGGTCGGGTTCAACACCAGAATTTCTCATCTTGCAGAACAATTTCAGAGCTTCTTCATGGGAGCCATTATGAGCACAACCAGTAACAGCAGAGGTCCAAGAGATCACATCCCTGTCCAGTATAGTGTTAAACACATTAAATGCGTAACTTAAATCTCCCTGTTTTGCATACATATCCACAAGGGCATTGCCAATGAGATTATAGCCTTGAAAGCCAGTCTTGATCACTCGACAATGAACGGATTGTCCTATTTTCACATCCTTTTTGGAAGTAAGACAGTTCAAGACAGATGGGTAAGTGAAGTCATCAACTCCAATATCCCTCTCATGCATCACCTTAAATAATGACAATGCTTCCTCTTCATACCCATTTTTCACATACCCAAGTATCAATGAATTCCAAGAAACCGCATGATCAGCTTCCATTGACTCCAATGCCTTCCTAGCACTATGCAAGTCCCCACATTTAGCATACATGTCAATTAATGCACTCTGAACAAAGACGTTTGCTTCAAAGCCTTCACGAACAATGCAGCAATGCACCTGTACCCCAAACCTAACATCAGAAACAGCAGCACACGCTGTCAAAACTCCTGGAAAGGTATATTGATTTGCCTCAACCCCCTCCACCTTCATGCCTCTGAAACAATGAATTGTTTTGTGTGCATCACCATTCAGCGAATAGCCATTAATCATAGCGGTCCAAGTAACATGATTTCTTCCGCTAGGCATCTCTTCAAATAGCAACTCAGCTTCCGTCACACACAAGCACTTTGCATACATATCAATAAGGCCAGTGATTACAAATACATTTGTGTCAAAATTGGTCTTAGTGGCATATCCATGGACCTGTTTGCCTTTCAAAAGCAAACCCTTTACAGAGCACACCCTTAGAACACTGCCTAACGTGTACTGACTCGGCTTATGGCCCTCGAATTGCATCTCCCGGAACAACTGAAAACCTTCAGTTTCATACCCATATTTGCAATACCCAGAAATGAGGGACGACCAGGTGATTGAACTCTTATTTGGGGCATCGTCAAACACTTTCTTTGCTTCAGTTAACCTCCCTGAATCAGCATACCCAGAAACCATAGTGTTCCAAGTGAAATCATCTCTGTGGGGAATTTTCTCAAATAGTTTCCGTGCTTCATCTATTCGGCCTGATCCCACCAGCTCATTCAAAGATCTATTGATGCCAAGCAATGAAGATTTAGTGCTTGCCAAGCTCGCAATGCTGCAAGGTTTAAGACTCAAATCGAAGCACCAATCTGGATAAGAAGAAGGCTTTGTTAATAAACTATTGTGCCGCGAGTATAGTTTGTGCATGAGCACAGGCTTTTCTTTCTGCAACCTCAGGCAGAAAAAATCGTTATTCGCTTGTCAGTTTAGGTGAAAGGCGTGAAACTAATCTCTAACTTGTCCTAACGACTTCAACTTACGTTGCAATGTCAATGTGTTGGGAAATTGGTCAGTGAAGAAGCTTAACGCCCCGAATAGCTCAATACGTCTGGCAAGTCGAGTTCGAGTATTTAATTTAAATTTGAATTTTTTAATATATTATTATTATGAAATTATCTTTGTACTCAAAAGAATGATTGAATTTATGAAATGTTTCATGTCATACAATATTTTTTGTAGGCGATAATGTCTTTTCACTCAAAAATTATCAAAAAAATGAAAATTTCAAATCTTTTTACTTGAACTCGATCCGGCTTGTATTGACTCGAATTCCATGCGAGTCGAGTTCGAGTTTTGTGAGCAATGCATCGAGTTTGAACTCGAGTTCCAATAATACTCCTCGTTTGAGATTGAGTATCCTTTTTGCAGATTGAGTATGATGATACTCGAGCTCAATTTAACTCGAATATATCCCTAATTGTTACATTATGTCTTTATAATTAGGATTAGTTTTTAAAAAAGAAAACAACCATGACATATATAAATATTTAGTTTTATTAATATATATATATATATATATATATATAATTTTCACGGAATTAAAAATCACGATGGAGCTAGCAGGAAATTAGCTTGGGCCTTGGGTTAGACAGGAGAAAAGATGGCTAGGAATTCCCCAAAAAAAAAAAAAATTTCCCCCAAAAATTCTGCAGCGCTTGCATACAGCCTCAATTTAATAATACTAACTTCTATGTCATCTATATAATGGAGTATCCATTGAGAGAAAGTTTATTTCCACCGATATTAGTTGACAGTTAGAGTTATATAAACAATCGAAATTGGCCACTTAATAATGATTGAATGATCATTAACTATATTAAATTTAAAGTTTGGACTGTCCAAATCTGTACTCCACAACTCTCTCAACTTCTTTTAGTCACCATCATTATTTTGTTCCCACGTTTTGGTTGTTTATAATTTGCTGCAGACCGGAATAACCTTAAAAATTCTTTGACAAGTCAATGCATAGCTCTTTGTGCCAAATTAATGGTTGTAAGCTAAACCACAATCTGTAGAAAACTAGTTGAAACCTATGTTTTCAGAACGGGACCGGATATCGACTCGGCCGAACTCAAGGGTCAGGGGTTAATGGATTCAACTGGGTTTGATAGGAGTTGAACTGGATGACGTCATAAATAAAAATTACTTAAAAATTAAAATATTATATGTAAAATACTTAATAACATGTTAATATTAATAAAGGTATATTCATATATATATTTGATGTTTCAAATATATTTAACAAGAAAATACAAATAAATTAGAACAATCAGGTAGCAATTTATATTATTTAATAAGTATTAACAAGTTTAGAATTAAAATTATGGACTCAATTGAAAAATGACACCAAACTTTAAGACAACATTTATAAAATATGAAATATTTGAAGTATATTAATAATTTTTAACAACTTAAGGGTCAAAACATCATATTAAAAATATTTTGACCTTTCAAAAAAGAAAAAAAAAAGACCGGGTTCATTTTTCTGGTCAAACCAGGTCAAACCCAATTTTGACTTGGTTTGACCGAATTTTTGATTTTTCGATTTTTAGAATTAATTTGGACCGGACAACTGGCCGGTTCCCGATTCGATCGGCCAGTCCGGTCCGAGTTTAAAACCAGAGGTTGAAACCTACCACAAAAACTAACTTGGTTGAGTTTTGTGGTTTTACTTTCTCTTCCACAGCAATCCTAACTTTATGAATAGCTTTCTTTCATTAGGTTAACAAGGTCTTGCATATGAGGGAAGGCTGGGTTAGATTGCATGGTAAGATGGGGATGAATTGTGAATAGAAAATTTTAGATTCAAAACTTTCCACTTATCCAAAAAAAAAAAGGCCTAAAGAGATATTGTGTCCGTCATAACAAAAGCAGAAGGTTTTGGATCAAGACCATGCGCATATAATAATTTCAAAGGGGTAAACAGGATACCTTAGAAAACTTTAGGGACTTCTAAGGTAATTTAACCACGGGCAAAACATTTGT